CTCGGGGGAGGGGGAGAGGGAGAGGAGGAGGGAGAGGGGGGAGGGAGAGAGGGAGAGGGAGAGGAGGGAGAAGATAAGGATAATTCATCTCTTATTATTATGTTTATATCGTTATCCTATACACATACATAATATATATACATAAAACCCTAAACCCTAAACCCTAAACCCTAGGAACCCTAAACCCTAGGAATCAAGGGCAATAATATATGAACTCTCTTGCTGCTGTTGCTGAGTGCAGCAAGAGGAGGAAGAAGGAGATGATGCATACCTGTTGGGTGTCTGTTGATGATTGTGGTGCCTGTTGTGCTTCTCGTACAGCAGCAGCAGCAATAGTATTAGCAGCAGCACGAGCAGCAGCAGCAGCAGCAGCAGCTCTCTCTGTTGCAGTGTTTGCTTCCTCTGATGCATTCATTGCTGTATCTACAGCATCTATTGTATCATTAAATGGTTGCTGTCTCTGTCTCCGCTGCTGCTGCTGCTGTTGCTGCTGTTGCTGCTGTTGCTGTTGCTGTTGCTGCTGCTGTTGTTGCTGCTGTTGTTGCTGCTGCTGCTGCTGCGACTGCTGCAGCAGCTGCTGCTGCATGTATAGGAATCTAGATGACGGTCCCTCTAATAAGGGCAACGGTGCTGCTCTTGCATCAGCAGCATCTGTCTCTCCTTCCCCCCATGTACTATCTATAATATATCCTGCTGCTGCTGCTGCTTCTGCTTCTGTTGCTGCTGCTGATCCTGTTGGTGCTTCTGCTGCTTCTCCTTCTTCTGCTGCAGTGTCTCCTTGGTGTCTCCTTAAGGGAGGAGGAGGGGGGGCCCTCCTGTACACCCGACCAACAGAGAGGGGCCCCTCATCAACATCCTTAATATCTTCATCATCATACCCACCATCTGTTGCTGCTGCTGCTGCTGCTGTTGCTGCTGCTGCTGCTGCTGCTGCATGATTAGACTTAATACTAGACCATATTTCCTCTGCCTTAAGGACAGCAGCAGCAACACGAATATCTACCATGAGGTGTCTAGGCAGCAGATTTGCTGCATCCTTATTGAGCAGCAGCAGCAGATTCTTGCTGCCTAATGGTATATTATCTGTTGCTGCTCCTGGGGGCCCCCTAACAATAAGATGATGAGGGGGACTCCTTAATTGTTTATTTTCTTCATATATATTTAATTCTGCTGTTCTTGCTGCTGCTGCTGCTGTATATTTACGGTGTATATACAGATAAAGGGGACGGCATATAGGGGGTAAATAAGAAAAAGAATAACGGCATAAAGGGCAATAAGATAATTCATATATACTCATTGAGTTATATACACACCAAAAACAAAATACATGACCTGCAGCAGCAGCAGCAACAGCAGCAGCAGCAGCAACAGCAGCAGCAGTAGCAGCAACAGCAGCAGCAGCAACAGCACACGCAGCAATAATAGAAAATTAGTTTGTTTTATACAATGATTGTAAGTATATGCTAGGGATATAATAGCAACAGCAGCAGCAGCAGCAGCAGCAGCAAATATGTCAGCAGCATGGAAGAACAGTAACTAGGGACGCAGCTGCAGCAGCAGCAGCAGCAGCAACAGCAACAGCAACAGCAAACACGGCAGCAGTACAGACAGCAACAACAAAGAACAGCAGCAGCAGCAGCAACAGCTAAAATAGCTTCGCAACAGTCCTTGGATAATAACAACAATGCTGCTGCTGCTGCTGCTACTACTACTACTGCTGTTGCTGCTGCTGCAGTTGCTGCACTATCCCCACACGACAACTGATGCAACACCAGCAAAGAGCAGCAGCAACAGCAGCAGAAACAGCAGCAGAAACAGCAGCAGCAGCAGCAGCAGCAGCAGCAGCAGATAAGGACCTACCGCATGGCAGCAGGACGGGCTTCTGAAATAAATCGCAGCAAATGCTGCAGATAAGCTCAGGGGGTATCTCCTCTGCTGCTGCTGCTGCTGCTTCTTCATTTGCTGCTGCTGCTGCTGCAGAAGAAGAAGAAGAGGAAGAAGATGGCATACGTGCTGCTGCACTAGTTGCTGGTAGTCGGGGGGATTCGAACAATCCTCTTGCTGCACCTGTTGCTGTTGCTGCTGTTGCTGCTGTTGCTGATGATGATGATCTACCTGAGGAGGGAGTTGCTGCTGCTGTTGCAGCAGTTGCTGCAGCACTTGCTACACCTATTGCTGCTGCACCGTCTAGTGTCTCCTCAGCTAACTGCAGCAAGACAGATGTCTCTGTATCCGTTGGGGGTTCCCCAAGGAGGCCCTGTACCTGCCCCATCCCGCCTGCAGAAAAACCCTAAACCCTAAACCCTAAACCCTAAACCCTAAACCCTAGGAGTTGAGGTCTTAGTACTTCAGCTGCACAGGTCATAAGAGACACAAATGTATAATAAGTTGCTGCTTGTATATTTAATGAAGGAGCAGAAGCAGCAGAGGTATAAGCAGCAGCAGCAAAGGCAGTAGTAGTAGTAGTAGCAGCAGCAGCAGCAGCTATAGTAATGGTAGCAGCATATATGCTTCCTGTGTAGTTGCCTGCAGCAGCAGCAAATCCCCTGTGCTGCTCCTTGCCTCGGAGCTTGCAAGAAGGGGCCCCAGGAAACAGTAGCAAGAGCAGGAGCAGCAGCAGGAGCAGCAGCAGCAGCAGCAGCAGCAAGAGCAGGAAGCGGAACTGCTGCAGCAAGCTATATTCTTACCTGCTTTGTTGCTGCTTCTGTTAATAAGAAGACTGCTGCTGCAGGAAAGCCTTGCTGCAGCAGCAAAGGATCAGACGGGGGGAATGGCAAGAGCAGCAGCAGCAGCTGCAGCAACAACGGCAGCAGCTGCAGCAGCAGCACGATGGGGAAAAAACAAATAAACTGTTTAAATAACAATTAACATATTAAAGATCTGCTGCTGTAGCGAGAGAAGCAGCAGCAGCAGCAGCAACAGCAGCAAGAGCAGCAGCCCCTGCCGGGCCCCTCGGCGCCGGAACCTTCTGGCCTGCAGGAGCACCAGCAGTACCACAAACTGCTGCTGCTGCTGCTGCTGCAGCAAATCCGTGCACTGTCTTGATAAACACTTAAGTATAGACGTAATAGGTAAATACAGGCAGAGAGAACAGCAAAGAGCCGGTGTTGCTGCTGCTGCTGCTGCTGCTGCTGCAGGGGCCCTGATCGGGCGGTCAGCAGCATCGACACACAGCAGCAACAACAACACCAGCAACAGGAGCAGCAAAACAATAATTTCCTCCTCCCTTTCTTCCTCTTTTTCTCTTTATTTTATATAAGGATTAAATATATTGTTAATAGTCTAACGCTACTGCTTGCTGCTGCCCTTGCTGCTGCCTTGGGGGGGCCCCTAGACCATCGGCAATGTCTTGGGGGGCCCCCTACACCCGCAGCATCAGCAGCAGCAGCAGCAACACACCGACCAGTATCAGCAGCAGCAGCAGCACAGAAGCAACAATGGAATAATAGCAGCATAATTCAATGAGACGCAGCTGGGGGCCCCCAGCCTGCGTACCCTCCGTGCTGCTGCGCCTCTGGTGCTGAGGGCTATGCGCTGCAGCACGAAGAGGCTGCTGCATGTGCTGCAGCAGCTGCAGCTGCAGCAGCAGAACGTAGCGTGGGCAGCACCAGTTCCTGCTAGATCAATTCGAACCGGAGGGGGGCCCCTGGGGGCCCCGCTACACCGCCCCTCTCTTTTGCCGACACTGCGAGACAGCAGCAGAACCGTTGTGAGCAGCAGCAGCAGCAACACGAGCAACAGCAGCAGCAGCAACAACAACAGCTACATTAGCAACAACGGCTACAGCAGCAGCAGCAGCAGCAGCACCAAGGACAGTGCTGATGCTGATAGCACTAGCAACGGAGACGGCACAGAAGACACCTGCAGCGGGAACGACAGCAGCAGCAGCAGCAGCAACAGCAGCAGCAGCAGCGGCAACAATGTGTTTCCCTGGGAAGATGAAGTGTTGCCTAGTTGCTTCTTGTTGACTGCTAGGGGGGGCCCATGGAGTTCTCTGCAGCAGCAGCAACAACAGCAGCAGCAGCAGCAGAAACAGCAGGGGGGCCCCCTAGGTGCTGCAGCAAGGGAAGAGGGCGCAGCAGAAGCAGCAGCAAGGAGACGAAGGTTTGCTGCTGCTGCTAAAGGCAGGCGTCTGCTGCATTTCCTTGACGCGTATCTCGCACAGCAGCAGAAGCAGCAGCAGCAGCAGCAGCAGGAAGGCGCACCGGCGTCTATTCTACTGCGAGACACAGAGGCTAGCAGCATAGTCTCCCCTACTGCATCCCCTTCTGCTGCTGCTGCTGCTGCAGCAGCAGCTTCTGTTGCAGGCAGGCGCAGCAAGAGGAAGTCAGGCCTGCGTGCTTGTGTATCTGCTGTTGCTGCTGCTTCTGCTGCTGCTGCTGAGTTGGGGCCCCTTGGCCCGTGGCTGCCCCCGAAGCTTCTTGCTGCTGCTGCTGGCTTAGCTGCTCGTGCGGTGTCTATGCAAACGAAGCAGCAGCAGAAGCAGCAAACAGCAGCAGCACAGGCATCAAATGAAGAACTTCAAGCAGCAGCAGCAGCAGCAGCAGCAGCATCTGGTTCTGCTGCTGCTGCTGCTGCTGCACTGCTGCGGAGCGCCCGCATGCGACTGCATGAACTGGGGCCTTACGAGTTGGCTACCTTATTAGCCAACATAAATCGCTGCAGCAGCTTCTCACCGCAGCAGCAGCAGCAACAACAACAAGAAGAGCAGCAGCAGCAGCAGCAGCAGCAGCAGCAGCAGCAGCAGCAGCCGCTGCTGTATGTCGAGCTGCCGTTGCTGCGGAGGGCAGTGCTGCCTGCTTTGGCCCCTTCGATGCCCCGTCTTAAGAGCTATCAGGCAAGCCTCGTGCTGCTGCTGCTGTTGCTGCTGCTGCTGTTGCTGCTGCTGCTGTTGCTGCTGCTGCTGTTGTTATTGCTGCTACTGCAGTGTCAGTCTTCTCTGCTTGTCTTGGAGTGTATGTACACAGGAGGCGCAGCGGGTATCATGGGTTTTGCTGCGCTGCTGCTGGGGGCCCCACAGGGAACTCGCGCTGCAGCAGCTAAAGGAAACGCTGCATGCGCAGCTGTCTCTTTTGCAGCAGCAGCAACACGAAGAGCAGCAGCAGCAGCAGCAGCAGCAGGAGATATGGAATGCCCCGACCTTCCGTGAAGGGGCCTCTCTTGCTGCTGCGCTGCTGCAGTGCGGCACTTTGGATGCGCTGCTGCTGCAGCAGCTGTGGAGTGCTGTATGCAGGGGCCTCATGGGGGCCCCAAGGGGCCCCCACGGTGACACTGCTGCTGCAGTGCTGTCACCTGCAGCTCTGCGTGCTGTTGCTGCAGGGGCCCCTGCAGCTGCTGTTGCTGTTGATGGTAGAAGGTGGGGAGCAGCAGCAGCAGCAACACGACTTAATGATAGGGGCCTCTGGCTGTCACTGTGGGGTCTGCTGCAACGGACGCAAAAGTACGCCAGTTTGCTGCTGCTGCTGCCGCTGCAGCTGCTGCTGTTGCTGGTCACGCTACTGCTTCTGCTGCAGCTGCTGTTGCTGCTTTGCCTACTGCCCCCTACGCTATTGTTGTTGCTGTTGCTGTTACTCTTGCTGCTGCAGCACGTGTAGAAGAGACACGGCATGAATGAATAGAATCAGTAGCATCAGTAGCAGCAGCAGCAACAGCAGCAGCAGCAGCTCTTCTTTTTCTGTGTCTTGCTGTCTTTGCAGCACGTCGCCGCTAAAGGAGTTATCGGCCTTCTGCTGCTCCGTTCCTTTGAGGGGCCCTTCTGGGGGCCCCCTAAAGAACCTGCAAGGGGGCCCCCCAGGGGGCCCCTTGAGGGGGGTCCCCCCCTCTCGACTAGGGCAGTTAAGTTATTCTTTAGGGCGGGGCCTGGCTTGGAGACAGGAGACAGAAGGAGACACATTTGCTGCTGCTCAGCTGCTGCACCTCTCTGCTGCACTCCCTTCTGCTGCTGCAGTGTGTGGCGACGCACCGCTGCTGCAAGCAGCAGCAGCAACCGTCAGGAAGAGGTTGCTGCTGCAGTGCGACAACAGCAGCACCAACAGCAGCAGCAACAGCAGCAGCAGCAGCAACCCGTTGGAGCTGGCGGAGGCGCAACATGTTGCTTGCTGCTGGGTGGCTGTCTCTCGTCTGCTGCTGTCGCTGCAGCCGACCCTCGATGCTGCTGTTGTTGCGGTGTACCCGCAGCTATCTGCAGCAGAAGCTCACCTTCTACTGGATTACCGTAGTAGCATCAGCAAGAGCAGCAGCAGCAGCAGCAGCAGTCCTGCTGCTTCTTGCATGCCGCCCCTCGACATCTTGGCGTCCTTACATGATGTTTACCCAGATGCTGCAGCAGAACTAGCAGCAGCAGCAGCAGCAGCCGTTGCTGCAGATTCTTCAGCATTATCAGCAGCACCAGCAGCAGCACTAGCACCAGCAGGTTCTGCAGTAGCAGCAGCAGCAGAAGCAGCAGCAACGGCAGCAGCAACAGAATCCCCTGCTGCTCCAACGTCCGCCTTAGAAGCCCTTGAGCAAGAAGCAGCAGAAGCTGAGGTGTATCGTCAGCGTGTTAAGAGGGAGCAGCAGCTGTCTTGTGTTGCTGCTGCTGCTGCTGCTGCTGCTGATAGGGCAATGAGTGCATGCGAAAGGCTGCTGCTCGAAGCCACAGCAGCAGCAGCAGGAGGGTTTGCTGCTAAGCCTACTCCTCCGTTGTTGCTGCTGCTGCAGCAGTCTCTCGCTGCTCTGCTGCAGCTGCGCGATGCGTTGGCACAGGATCTGTTAAGTCGGTGGTCAGCAGCAGCAGCAGCAGGAAGCAGCAGCAGAGGGACAGCAGCAGCACCAGCAGCAGCAGATCCACGGATTGCCGTTGCTTGGGCTCGTGCTGCAGCAGCAGCAAACTGCTGCAATGCCCCTGCAGATGCTGTGCATGCAGCTCTGCTGCTGATGGAGAAGCATCTTGTGGGGTCGAGGCGTGAGCTTGAGGCAGCAACTGCAGCAACAGCAGCAGCAGCAACAGCAGCTCCAGGGCGTGTCCCCGTAAAACACCTGCAGCAACTTGCTGCTGTTGCTGCGCTGCTGCATGCCCTCAGCTCCTGTGGGGTCCGCCCTAGGGGGGCAATTCATTCTTTGCTGCCTGGCCTTCGGCGGGCTATATACTATCAGCAGCAACAGCAGCAGCAGCAACAACAGCAGCAGCAGCAGCAGCAGCAGCAGCAGACTAACGAGGACTGGGGAGACGACCCTTTCGTGTGGCAGTAAGAAGGGATCCTTTAGGCCCAGGGAGACAATAGCCACCTATCCTGTTTATACTGCCGTTGCTGCTGCAGTTGCTGCTGCACCTGCTGCTGCAGTTAATTCCGCTGTTGTTGCTGCTGCTGCTTTTGTTGTCTACTTAGGTGCTGGGCGGATATCCTTCTATCTCTGGTGGAGCTGCAGGTGCGGCAGCGTTGCTGCATCCTCAGCAGCAGCTGCTGCTGCTGCACCCTCCTCCCTTTTAGCAACAACAGCAGCAGCAACAGCAACACGAAG